ATTGCTCGGGCCTGTGCGAAACCCGCCACCTCAAAAACCTGCAGTGTCTTGTGTCTGGACCTCTAGGTCATGTCCGGTGGGGTGAAAGGACACTTGAAAATCACCCCGTTATTTTTCTAGAGGCGGCTAGGACCCAACAAACGTCCTGGGCCGCCCCATTTTTTTTTTTGATTTTTGCCCGAGGGGCCTCCATCCGGACATGGGGACCAGACACCGGACACCAGACACCGGACACCGGACTGTCTGGAACCCGCTCCGGACGTCCGGGCGGGTTACCATGCAGCAAACCGATCTTTTTCCTGATCATCACAAATATTACAATAGCTCGTAACACATCCAAAAACAACAGTAAAGCGGCAAACCATCCCTGAGAGTACTCAACACGCACAAAAAGGCAAGAGGAGGGGAGGCTGTGGGAGATGAAGAAAAAGTAAAAGCCATACAGATCATACAATCACTTCGGAAAAGTGCATTGTGGAAGTTTTCTTTGGCTCCAACAAAATTAGGAGAAGGTAGACAACACAAACAGAGTGTGGGATGGTGCAAACTCACTTCAAGTAAAAGTTCGGATCTGTGTCGCATGTGACCCGCTCATTTTCTTTTGCATGCACAATTTTCTTGATTTCGCAGTTGATGAGATAATTGAACGAGTCGATATGTTGTTTCACTAACCCTCTGACCTGCAACAACAGAGTACATCCCAGCAATCCAACCAATGCCAGGAGATCACCCATGCCAAGTAAGCTGCAAGGTATGTCGGATGATGAGTAAGCACATACTCACATGAGAACTTTCCTGGATGTATCAGACCACAATTATGGGCGGTCGGTCCTCAATGTATCTGAGCGCAGTTGTGCTCCGAGGTCAGTCCAAAAGTCCTATTGTGAGCATGCCCTGAGACAAGCCCCGGATACCAGCTAATGAGATGCTATCTCAACCTAGAAGATGCAAACACAACCTAAATCGACTCAACCCATGTGGCTGAATGGAACACAGTACTATACAGATGCACCTGTCATGAAAAGGTTCTTCCTTAAAAGATCCTGCTTTCTTGCCTTTTTGTTGCTTCAAACGTTATGCATGCTTCGCACTCGAGATCCACACCAAGCTTGTTGGAAATTATTTGCAACTTGAAATGATTTACACAGGTTTCTCAAGCTTCGCAGCTATGACCGCCAACAACAAGAAGAAGCAGCTCTCTCTCTCTCTCTCTCTCTCTCTCTCTCTCTCTCTCTCTCTCTCTCTCTCTCTCTCTCTCTCTCTCTCTCTCT